CGCGCAGAAAATACCGTTCCTCTGTTGTTTGCGGTCCGCTGCCTAGCAACGCGTCTACATGCCAGCCTATAGTAGCCGCCGTGCTATAAAGCGTTAGTTGCCGTTGCTGTGAGTGTACGTCACGGCGTTGGGGAAGCGTGCGCATGTCCTGACACTCGGAACCCGAGCGGTGAAGTTATTGTCTGTCGGCACGTGTTTCTAGAGTTATGCTATTCAGAGATCCTGCTCGTGAACTTTCCTGCTTGTCCTCCTGGCACGTCGGTGGCCCCCCCCCCAACCCACGCCCGCGAGGCGTATGGATGGAGTTCTGAAGGAGATGTGCTCGGGGATCTGGAGAGGTGGAGGTCGAGTGTAAATCCCTTGATATCATCAGCGTGTGTGGCGCACTGCATTTACGTAACGACATTTTTATATTCATTTGAATTGCATGAAGTTGCCCGCCATGGAGCGAATTTGAAAGGTAAAAAGATGAAGTTGTCCCTGTGCTTAACTGATTAAGCAGTAGGCCATGAAGGCGTATGGGGAAGTGGATGTATAGATCTACATTTTCTTGACCTCGGCACCAGCTGGAGGTGAGTGTTCAGCTTGGCGACCCTGCCGCTTTAACCCCGGTACCCATTGGATAGGAGTCTGGGTGGGCCCCATAGCCGGTCTGGACTACGTGGAGAAGTGAAAATTCTTGACTCTACCGGGACTTGAACTCCGAGTTGAATAAACCTAGGAGCTGTGTGTGTGGATGACATAACTTCGAATACAGGATGATACATGAACAGTGGTCGTGGCCTCATTGAGGTATACGTCCAGAATTTGGTTGGAGGGACTTAGGAAAACCACGAAGAACATCAGGATACCCGGTGCCGCGGCCGGGATTCGAGCCTATCACCTTCGGAATACAAGTCAGAGGGTATCATCGCTACCTAACCTGCCCTGTATGTCTGACTCTACATCATGTAGGGGCCACGCGCCAGCGTAGTTGGTTGAGACACTATGCTACAGGCCGGAAGGTCGCGGGTTAGATTTCCAATGAGGTAATTGGTTTTTTGAATTGTCCTAACCCTTCCAGCCGCACTATGGCCATGGGGTCAACTCAGCCTCTAACAGAAATGAGTACTAGGAATATTCTTGGTGGTAAAGTGCGGCCGGTGCGTAAGGCTGACAACCTCACCCCCATCTGTGACCCGATTGTCTAGAAAATGTGGGAGCCTCGACGTCTCACAACCCTATGGGCCTCCACGGCCTGTTACAGGAATAACTTTACCTTTTTCCCCTCCATATCTGGTAGCAGTTATAAAATAATAATAATAATAATAATAATAATAATAATAATAATGATGATGTTGAAATCCTGTGCTGTTGCTGCCTGCCCTACCGGACTGTCTGAAGCTAGCGATCCCCTCAGGCGTTCATCTCTCGCCTGCCTGAGGTGGCAGTCTGCGACGACACTGGTTAGGCAGATGAGTTTGATTTCCAGTTCGGCCCAACTATGTTTCTGTTAGACCTCTGAGAGTGGAGGTCATAAGTCAGTTAACGCTGGTAGAGTGACCATAATGTACAGGTTGACCCCATGAACTGTGGAAGCAGCACATGGACATGTTGGCTGACCTCTCGTATCCTTGATGTATTGTTACGGCATGAAGACACTTGGTAACCTGAGGCACTCTTGCACCTGCTGTTGAGATCTCCTGCCCTTGCGGTCTGCTGGTTCCGGCTTGCCCCTCCACTGACCACGGCTTGACCTGCTTCTGCCCCGCAGCGTTCAAGACACCGAATGTTGGGGCCGAGCGGTTTCTATTCATCCTCTCATGGAGGTCCTGGATTGAAATATCGGCCCTAGAGGCTGGTTATTTTGAATGACACTTGTCGTGGTTTTACTCAGTCTTTCCAGGAAAGTGCCTGGATGGTACCGTACTAACGGTTAGGCCACGACTGGTTCCTTCTACATCCGTTCTGTTTTATTATTCATAATCATCGTTTCATTTGACGCAATATAGTCTGAGCTACTGACAGCGTCGCCATCTGAAACAGGCCAATGTGTTTATAATGGGGACACGCGGTAGCGTAGTTGGTTGAGGCACTATGCTACACGCCGGAAGGTCGCGGGATCGAATCCCGAAGAGGTCATTGGATTTTTTTCAATTACCTATACTTTCCAGCCGCACTATGGCCCTGGGGTCGACTCAGCTTCTAACAGAAATGAGTACCAGGAATCTTCCTGGGGGTAAAAGGTGGTAAGGTTGACAGTCTCACCGCCATCTGTGAGCCGATTGCCTAGAGAAAATGTGGAAGCCTCGACGTCTCACAACCCTGTGGGCCTCCACGGCCTCAAGCAGACTGTCGACTCCACTAATCACAAGTTAGCAGGATTGCGTATAAAGTTAACTCGTTTCCACTTCCCGAGACCTTCCGTCTGTATATCCTGTTTCAGCTCGCCTTTTATTAGCCATGTTACAGAACTTGAAGGAGATAAGATAGCTCAGAAGGTATAGTGACGGTCCGCAGGGTGGACGGGCTCCAGTTCGTGATTAGATTTCTGGCAGAGCCAAACGATTTTCTGTTCTGCGCAGTTCCCAGAACGTCCCTGGGTGCAACGCATCTTCCTGTTAAGTGGTACTGGCGTCCCTTTCCCCGAGGTAAAGCGGCCCGGGCGTGAAGCTCTCCGCTCATTTCCGTCTGCAGCTGAGGTTGAAGCGTGGTTGTTAATTGCGTAATGTAATGAAGGCAAGCAAGTAGCAACTGGATACTTTGCTTGCTCTTGATCGTGAGGATGGAGGCAGTGTGTTCAGCAGAAGCAACAATAAGCTTCTGAAGGGCTACACGGCATCACGTTTCAAAAAATAATACCTCTTCCATCTTCAGGGTCGAAGAGTAAGTCAGGCAAACAGTAAGCAACTTTGTATTTTTACTAGTTTTACTTTGCTTGACATACTTCTCGACCCTGAAGATGGAGTCAATACTATCCTCAGTAGCCTAGTAAACACGGCGGCACATTCCATAAGATAGTATTCTGTCAGCTTCAGAGTTGTCTGGTATTTCAGTCTATTCGTATCGAGTTAAAGGAAAGCAGGCCGAGACTAAATTTCTTTCTCAGAACTTGTTTTTATTTACAAAGTGTGTCCCGCTTTCAGTTCTGTTGTAATGCGTCCACAGTAGGACAAGTTGCACTCTCTGTTTCCTTTGTGAATCCGCAATGTGTCTCGGAAAGACGAGGAAAGTTTTGCTTTGACGGGATGTGTTTGTGACCGATACAGTCTCGGATTCTGGTCGCTTGTGTGGCTGGGTAGTTGAGCCTTGCTCACAGAAACGTCGGGCCACTAGTACCGTCACAAGTTAGAAGCACTGCCCTCTAGAGAAGTTCGTACATCTTGTGACTCTATTGAAACTCCCTTGAAACTCTTAATTACAGCGCCATCGCTGATTTCCACACTTTACAAATCACTAGAGAACACGCTAAGTCTTGTAAGATTTGAGGTTTTCACGGCGGTGACTGTGAAGAAAGCAGCCTTCTGGGCTTTGGCACCGTGTATATGTGGTGTTAACCGACGTTTCGGAGGAACGTATCGCATCCATCGCCCTGAAGATGGAGGCGATACGTTCCTCCGAAACGTCGGTTGACACCACATATACACGGTGCCAAATCCCAGAAGACTGCTTTCTTCACGCTAAGTCTTCTTCAGCCTTCGTCTTCACTAGACGTTTCCTGGTAAAGATTCCTAACGATTATTCCTCTGCTTACGGGCTCAAGTGCTGTCTGAACGGCAGCTTCCTTCCAACTGCGTGCCTTCCCTATAACTGGCTTGCTGCCGTGCCATACCTACCTCTTCTCTTCACCGCGTATCTACTGACTACTGGTTAAGCTGTAACCCTGCCCCTTGCTTATAAAATCTCGTCATTGACCACGCAGAAAACACCGTTGCTCTGTTTCATGCGTATCCGTTGCCTCGGTAACGTGATTACCAAGCCCATTCCCTAGCAGCGACCGTCTGCTGCTCCACAACGTACGCTGGTCCACTGCCCAATTCGTGGCCGTTGCCTAGGAACAAATGTTTCAGAGCCGTTCACTAGCAACGGCTGTTTCTCTGGCTCCACAATTCTTGCTTTGAGTAAATATTCCGCAATATTAACCGTTTAAAGTACAGTGGTTAGTGTATGTACGTACCGTTGGTTTAACATTGATTCCTCCCACACCCTGTATTTATGTGTTCCTTATGGCTTATTTCCCTAAACAGAGTTTGTAATGGAGAGAAATTGTGTTTTCTGTGAGCTACAAACTGAATTTGAAGTGCTTCCTCATCTCGGCCTAGTGTCTATTGGAAGTGTTGGTCCGTCCGTATGTCTGTCTCGCTGTAGAGGACAGTAGTCTTCATAGTAAAGGTAAAGCTGTCCCTGTAACATGCCATGCAGGCCCATGGGGTTGTGAGTCATTGAGGGTCCCACATTTTGTAGATGATCGGCTCATAGTTGGCTGTGAGGTTGTCAGCATTACCCACCGGTCGCCCTTTACCCTCAGGAAGATTCCTGGTACTCATTTCTGTTAGAGGCTGAGTCGACCCCAGGGCCATAGTGCGACTGGAAGGATTAGGTCAATTGATAAATCTAATGACCTTATCGAGAATCGAACTCGAGACCTTCCTGCTTGGAGCATAGTGCCTCAACCAACTGTGCTGCCGCGTGTCCCTCTGAATAGTAATGACACCAAAAACTTAAAATCTCGCGCATGCTCTGTTTAGATTCGCACAAACAGTTCTAATTGGATTGGAGGTTCTCTTGGCGGTAATTACGAAGGGTTCGGTGTTCTGGGTTGTAAGTCGGACTTGCTTGTCGCCTCCTGCTGTTTTCCGCTTAGTCTACTCCTCGACCCTGAAGCTGGAGGCGATATGTTCAGAGAAACGTTTGGCTCCCCTAGCTACACGTCATGATTGTCCAGAAGATCAAGGAGCTGCGCGTGTTCTTCAGGGGATATGTTGCTCAATGCAGTTTTGACACCTCTGTTGTTCTTGCAGATTGCGCATCCGGTACGTCATGCCGTCGGCGCATCTTACCTTGCGCGAGGAGGACGTTGTGCGCCTCACCCTCGAGTTCCTGCACACCCGAGAACTTCACATATCCCAGCTCAGCCTTGAGCGGGAGACAGGTGTCATCAATGGCGCCTTCTCTGACGACGTTCTGTTCCTGAGGCAGCTGATACTCGACGGTCAGTGGGATGACGTCCTGGAGTTCATCCAGCCCCTGGAGGCTCTTCAGGCGTTCGACATGCGACGGTTCCGGTACTCAATCCTTCGTCACAAATACGTGGAACTCTTGTGTATCAAGTCCGAGGCATTGGTGACATCGGGACCCGTCAACAACGTGGACAGTGCCGTGGAAGACGTAGTTAAAGTGCTCAGTGAGTTGGAGCGTGTGTCGCCCTCCAAAGAGGACTACTCCAACTTGTGCTTGCTGCTCACACTTCCCCGTTTGTCTGACCATCTGCAGTACAAGGACTGGAACCCGAGTAACGCCCGCGTGCAGTGCTTTAGGGAAGTGTTTCCTCTAGTCGAGAAGTTCCTACCGGGGGACAGGAAGACTGCAGACCACGCATCAAGTTGTGCGAACACCACGGCGAAGAACGACAGACTGATCCATTTAATTATAAAAGGAATTCTTTACGAATCGTGTGTCAACTATTGTCAGGCCAAAGCTACAGGTTCCAAAGAGAGTCAGCAGCAGGAAATGACATTCTCGCGTCTGTTGGACGGCTCTGTAGGCTACAGTGACTCCGACCTCAGCCTTTTGTCCTGGCTACAAAGTATTCCATCGGATACATTCTCAGTTCCGTTCGAACAGCGAACGCTTAATGTGGATATTGAACGGCTGGAACGTCCATCCCTGGAGACTTCTTGGACAGAGCATATGCTAGTTACACCGATTAAACCAAAATTATTTCCTCACTCAGCCATGCCGTTCACCCGACCTCGTTCCGCGGCCGATATTATGTCGCGGTCCTTGCTTCCAGCTCTGGACGGACTGCCCTTTGGACTCGCGGGTCAGCAAGGCGGTGGAGGTTTGGGAGCCCATAACCGGAACAACAGCCCAATGATGATGGCTCTGTCCACTGGAGACATCAACACTGGCAACGCGATGTCGCGGTCATCTTTCGCTAGCTTCCACCTCACTGGCTACAAGAGTAACAAGCTTATGAACACGTCAGTGGACAGGCTTTTCGAGAATGACGGCGATGTTTTCTTGAGCAGCAGTTACGCAGACTTCCAGCAGTTGCCGGCAATTCTAGAGACGACCCCGAAGCCTCAACCCCCACCGCGTGTCAGGGGACGCTCTCGCAGCCCCGATAAGAAGGGTAATACCGGTGGAACCATTTCGTCGGCTGCATCGACTCCCGAACACAGAGGCAGAGAGTCTCCGGCGACGGCAAGGTCATCTCGCCGAGATTCGCTGACTGACAAGCCTGTGGTGCCGAGTGGCACGACAGTGGTGCTGACTGGCGTCGATACCGTGCTAGACCAGCAGCAGGGCTTCGACGGAGATTTGCTGAAGGAGTACCAGCGCCAGAAACAGCGATTGCAGGAGACGCTGCAGGTGAAGGAGCGCGAACGCGAGGAATTGCTGCGGCAACTTCAGAGCACAGACAATCGGCTGCAGGAGAACAGGTGAGAGCCTTTGCACATGCGCGTCAGTTTGGCAGCACGTGAGGGGTAAAACTGAATTTGCATCGTGGCTTTTTACCACGACGGTGAGTCAGTAAATAGGTCACAAATTGATACAAAACATAAAACATGTGATATTCGAACATGGAAAGACAGTTATTTCTCGACATATCCTCCACCAACACTGATACACTTGTCCTATCGGCAGTGCTTCTAAACCCACAACATAGAATTCTTTTTGTCTGTTGTAACGGCTTCATGACTTCATCATCTTCAACTTTCCAACGCCCTTGAGAGAATTTTTCGGCCTAGCTGTGAACCGTTTTACGCGACAGACACTTCCCACCGTGAATAAGCAACTTTTCTTTATGAATATCCTTTGCACCGTGTCCTTTAGCCCACAAAAAAAAACGCATAATAGAACGCCACTCTTTTGTAGTACAGCCCCTCAAGCACGATCGCCATTTTGACTACTGAAATCAGCCTCTGAGCATGCGCATGCGCATGCGCGTCAGCTACCTAGACTATCCTGAAGTTGGACTGTGCATCTACCTAGTGATACACACAGAAAACCTATTACATCAGTTACAGCTGTTTTACTTCCATTTGTGACGTACTTACTGACTCTCCCTCGTAGCATCAGAATCGCACGATTTTTTTGTTCTGAAAATGGCGATTGAGGACCTATGACGTCTATTTTAGCTTAGCTTTGGTGGAGGAGGTGGGTAGCTCAGGCAGTATAGTGAATAGACTGGATGACGTCAGTAGGGGCAAGGACAAGAACAGCCCTGGGGCCCACCTATACAATGTGTACTGGGAGCCCTTTTTCCTGGCGCTATGAATGTTATTTATATGAAATATAATACGCAGGAAATGTGCTTCATTTTAAAATACAGGTCCGTAAGTTGGATTTGCTGGTGACTCTGGAGTCCAACTGGGTACACTCGGCATGGCGGCCACTGACTGGCCTAATGTAGCCTGCCCCGGGTGATTATGATGATGGAGCAATTGGTGGAATGAAGATTGGCAGGGGAAACCGAAGTACTCTGAGAAATCCCGCCCCAGCGCCACTTTGTCCACCACAAATCCAATTGACCACACCCCGGGATCGAACCCGGGCCGCCGCGGTGGGAAGCCAGCGATTAACCGCTTGAGCTGTGGCGCGGCCCTATCTCTGAGGTTACATAAAAGGCTGCGAATTTCTTGACCACCTGAATAGCTGTTTTCTCGTCACGAAGGTCTAGGTTAGTTACCTGTTGGTTAGTTGTCTGTATCCGCAGTGCGGTTCGCTTGCATTTTGCGATGTTTTTTTTTCAACCTCCCGAGGGTCTAAGTGTTCGTTGCTTAGAGTCGTGAAGGAGTGAAACCTTGGATGACGCCGCTTTCGAGAGTTTTGCATACTAATGCCTAGTGATTTGCGTCTGAGGCCAGCTGTTTGTCTGGCCTGGTTCGTTACTGATCCACTTGCGTCCGTACGAGTATTAGCGCCCACTTACTAGGGCAGAGACCCACAACAAGTCGTGCCGACATGAACAAATGGTGTATCGCATTGTTCTTAGAAAGTGAAAATAGACAACGATGTGGTCTCGTGGCACAAATTATGCCTCTTACTAGGATTTTTTTAATTCGCTAGTGGGGGGTGGAGTCCAGCTGAGTCCACTCGGCACTGCGGCCACTGATTGGCCTATTGTACCTGCCCCGGGTGATTATGATGATGTAGAATTTGGTGGAATGCAGATTGGCAGGGGAAACCGAAGTACTCGGAGAAATCCCGCACCAGCGCCACTTTGTCCACCACAAATCCCACTTGACCAGACCCGGGCTCTAACCCGGGCCGCCGCGTTGGGAAGCCAGCGACTAACCGCTTGAGCTATGGCGCGCCCACCCTTACAGGATAGTAAGGGGGGACGTGGTAGCGTAGCTGATTGAGGCACTATGCTACAAGTCGGAAGGTGGCGGGTTCGATTCCCGATGAGGTCATTGGATTTTTTTCTCAATTTACCCAATCCTTCCAGCCGCATTATGGCCCTGGGGTCGACTCAGCCTCTAACATAAATGAGTACCAGGAATCTTTCTGGGGGTATTTTTCTCCAATCTCAGGCCACTTCTTGCTTACTGGGTCAAATGTTCTCATGGGCACTGCGTCCCCAGACACCTGAAGGCAGTGAGAAGAAAAAGAAATTTTATTTGTAGCAAATGGAGTCATTAAGGCTCAGCATGTGGGAGCCTGAGGCATGTATCATTCTGTACGTGCTCCTTCATGTTGTCACGTATCATGGGGTTGCTATAGACGGGGTTTCGGAATAGATATTGGATTTATTGACCACTTACAGGTCGTAACTACAAATAACTATTACATTGTTGCCTTTTCCACACTTTACAAAATCATGTCTTCAGTAGTAGTTGCCTGGTAACGGCTACTCATCTACTTCCAAGCACAAGTCCTCTCTGAACGGCGGCTTCCATCCAACTGCGAATTCTTACTCCAACCAAGTCATCTCTTCACAGACTCCCATACAAAACTGACTTGGTCGCACAAAGTGTCTTCCATATAACTCCTCGAAACGGACCACGCAGGCAACACCGCTCATTCTCGTATGCTAAACGTTTCCTCGGCAATGTGTTACAGAGTCGTTCCATAGCAGCGGCCGTCCGTTATTAAGAATGTGCTGCCTAAGAACGGACATCCCGTTGTCTTTTTCGCGGCCGTTGACTAGAAACGAATGTTGTTTCAGAGCCGTTTTCTAGCAACGGCTGTATATCTAGCTGCACAGTTCTTGTTTTGAGCAAATACATATGCCACAATGTGAAGTGAAAAGTATGCATACCCCTTTTCCTGGATGTAGATCGCTATATTCTGATATGTTACACCGTATAGTCTGGTAGATATTTGGGAACGTTTCGAGGAACCTGCGCCGGAACTGTAGGCAGCAGGTTGCTACCAGGTTACACGGCGTTACATTCCAGAAGACAGTACTGTTCATGGTCGCTGCCTCGCCAATTTCACACGCTTTCGTCCATTTTGAGGTAGTCCCTGACGAATCCTCTCCAGTGCTGGCAGTTTAAACGTGCTGTGAGGTGGGTATCCTGCAAAATTGAGCTGTCGGTACTGAAGTAACAACCCAGTAGTCTGGAACGTTTTAATTGCCCGGGTTCAACGAACCCGTGGTCTCATATCTTCTCTTATAAAACACGGCGACGGGCCGCAGTAATAAACGAGTTTCTAGGTGTTAATTTGTCTGAGGTATCAACATACGAGGCTGTCATTCTGCTGTGTTTAGCTTCTACTGTGAAAACCTGTGGCGCTGGGCACTTCTCTAAGTCGGCCACATCTCGTAGTTGGCCGCATTTCTACAGAACAACACACGTAACCAGCTCTCCTAATTTCGTCAGCCTGTCTTGTATTTTGTCAACTTCGCTACATCTCATGCTGTGCTTATGTACATATTTTAACCTTGCCGTTTTGACCACGGAGCCAGTATAAATGAAAACATGTGAACCCTTCTGTTCCTTTTATGTACGTGCCTTTACCATGTCTGCTTCTTATTCGCAATGGATATGTTATTTCATTCACCAATGGCTCTACAGCCCTTTGTTGGGCCCTGGCCTCCTCTTCAGCTTCGTAATCTGTTTTACAGAGACGATAGGATTCTTTGGACGAGTGATCAGCCCGTCGTAAGGCTGCTACCTACACAAACACAGAATGAAGACACACAGACATCCATGGCTTGAGTGGGATTTGAACCCACGATCCCAGTGTTCATGCCTGAGATCGCGCGGCCACTGTGATCGGCAGATCGATAGTTAACGGCCCGTTAAATTGTTTATTGTGTTGTTATACAGTTCAGATCAGTTAATTTGCAGTGTGTCCAGTGATGATGGAGGTTCAAAATCTTAACAGCGCGACAGAATTCACACTACGCGTACAGTAGCTTAGACGCTAAAATGGAAATGTTAAGTCGGTAAGTTATCTGCCTGCCTTTGCGTGGCACTGGACGTGGCCGCGCTTTGCTTAACGGAAACAGCCAGAACAAGTCGACGGTTGCGCGGATTCATTGACCCTTCGATACGCGTACTGCAGTCTCACTGTATGACTCGTGAATTGTTTCTGTTCTCCCGGAGACCGTGGTCCGGGTAGCTGTTTACCGTGGTCTATATAGGTCTTTGACTTAGCTGATGAGACGGACAGGCTATGTAGCACGAATGGGGGCGAAGAGGAATGCATATACAATAGTGATGGGAAATCCAGACGGAAAGAGACAACTAGGAAGATCAAGACGTAGGTGTTTTGATAATATTGAAATTGGCCTTAGGGAGAAAGGATGGGATGATATTGAGTGGATTGATCTGGCTGCTGGGAAGTTCTTGAATAGCTGCAGAACTGGCGGCTTCTCAAGAAGGGCTCAGCTCCGTGAAGTTAGTTACATAGTATTTATCGTGATCGCTGTAGCTATTGACTGTGCCTGCAGAGGCACGTAACACATTTGTGATGGCAACTGACGCTTTCCGATAGCAGCGTCACACAGTGTTTCAGCGCACTAAGCAGCGTGTGTCGCCATGTGTCCGGTATCAGCGTTACACAGTTTCAGCGCACTAAGCAGCGTGTGTCGCCATGTTTCCGGTAGCAGCGTTACACAGTGTGTCAGCGCACTAAGCAGCGTGTGTCGCCGTGTGTCCGGTATCAGCGTTACACAGTGTTTCAGCGCACTAAGTAGCGTGTGTCGCCGTGTCCGGTAGCAGCGTTACGCAGTGTTTCAGCGCACTAAGCAGCGTGTGTCGCCATGTTTCCGGTAGCAGCGTTACGCAGTGTTTCAGCGTACTAAGCAGCGTGTGTCGCCATGTGTCCGGTAGCAGCGTTACGCAGTGTTTCAGCGCACGAAGGAGCGAGTGTCTCCGTGTGTCCGGCAGCAGCGTCACACAGTGTTTCAGCGCACTGAGGAGCGCGTGTCGCCTTGTGTTTGCCCCCAGGCACAGGCCACCTGCTCACCTTCACCTCGTGCCTG